ATTCTGATTCACAGTAAGTGTTGAGAAGCGTGACATTAGATAACACTACCTCATTTTTCAAAAAAGGTGAGCCTCAATACTGTATATGAACCCAGAAAGTGGAGGTGACTAGCTCTGAGCATGTGATTATATTTCTCAACCTCAACTTCTTATAAAGGAAGAATGGATGGGTTTGACTCTTCTTTCTACCTTCAGCTTCAGAGAGGTGAAAATGACATAATATACCCTTGTACTTTGAGCCATACCTTACTTGAATATATGCCCTTTATCTGGTTCTCAAGTCATGTAGGGAACAATTACCTTGCAGGATCTTGCAGATCCTTGCAGTATCTCTGATGGGGGCCCTGAAGCAGGGAGGGGGTGTTTCATGATGGTTATTTTATAGGCTAGGCACATGGATGCGCCTAGATCACAAAGCAACAGCAAGCCACCTATTTGGTGATATCAGAGGAACATTTATTCTTATCCATACTTATTGACATTGTCTATGCAAGACACAGCTCAGTCCTCAGTCCTCAATGGTTTATTCTTTGTTTGGAAAAACAGATTACAGGGGAAAAGATATATGTGTGTGTGTAAAGGGGAAAAGGAAATGTGTATATTAAATAGATAATAAATGTTATTTTTATCAGAGGAACATTTATTCTTATCCATACTTATTGACATTGTCTATGCAAGACACAGCTCAGTCCTCAGTCCTCAATGGTTTATTCTTTGTTTGGAAAAACAGATTACAGGGGAAAAAATATATGTGTGTGTGTAAAGGGGAAAAGGAAATGTGTATATTAAATAGATAATAAATGTTATTTTTATATAACATATATATATTTTTATATAACATCCTCTTTAGAATGGAGGATATGATTTCTGACCTTACCCTACTACTGCTGAATCTGTGTTCCATGAACTTTATCCATGTCTCCTTTCTGGTATTTCTATACATTAGGTGTAGTTAGAAGTTTGCATGACAATTTTCCCCATGTGGTTGTGAATTCTGAGTTAGAATCTCTAGTTGTGCTACTATTATGTCCTGCACAGTCCATACTACATAATTATTTGCTGAGTGATTGAAAAATGCTATCATTGGAGACTGTGTAGAACTAAGAGATGTGTGTCGTGTACATGCCCATCAGCTGCTCAGGTTGTCCCATTATTTTCTCCAGGATCCTGGGGCCCTGGAAATTGGTTTATTAAAATTGCATAGCAGTAATTTTCAGACCAACTTCTTTACCAGCTTCAGATTTTTTGTGTGTGTTTTAGGGTCCAGTTCTCAGATAACCAAAAATTGGCCTACTAGGGAAAGAAGACAAGAATTGCTGTGATGTTTAGCTAGGATGTGAATACAGGTCCTGTTATATCAACATACATCATTCAGGGATGGGGCTTTCGTTTTTAGGAAGCCTTTATTATTATATACCAAAAAGTATTATATATTAAACATTAAAATATAGCCAAAATATGTGTAGTATATACTATGTGTAGGTGTATATATCCATGTATGTAAATATGTATATACGTATGTGTTTTATATATAGATACATAAAAACAAAGAGCAAGAGGGTTCCCTTTTCCTTATCTTCCTCTCATCTCTCAGGATTGAAAAGATGAGCAACATGCAAGGAAGGAAACGGGATGAGAAGTCAAGGGACGTAGAGTCTTTTTATGCTTTGCCTTAACATAGTGACTCTGGACAGTCCATTGCATCTCTGTCCCTGTTTTCTCAGCTTTAAGATGATGAGGTCTAGCTAGGTGATCTCTGAGGTGAATTCCCAGGTGAGAACTCCTCAGGTGAACTTTTACTGTACTATAATTCTATAGACTTACTTAGCATCTATTATAGTGAATTTTTAATAAGGCATGTGCTTCTTTGAGCTGCTCTTCAAAGAGACACAGCACAGAAGGAAGACCCTGTAACTATGCCTGGGTTACAGAAAGGCAGGGACTTGGGCAACAAGCTTTAGTTCTGGCTCAGAGGACATCAGAAAGCATAAGCTCATGGGCAAACCCTGCTGATTCCTCGCGCTCACTTCTTCCATTTGGAAAGTGTAGGAAATGGCCCACATGCTATCTTAGTCCTCTGTGGGCTTGAGTATAGGATTTCAGAAATCTGGGTACACAAGGAAATGGGCAAAGGTCATCTGATTACAGAGAATGGTTGTTTTGACATTCTATTTTGTTCCTTGAGCTCTACTTCTATCAACAACTCACTTTACCCTGATGATTTTTTTTCCAATTAAGCATTACTTGCCCACCAATAATAATATTCCAATATAAAAGGGTAGCCAAAGACCTATTGAAACGTTGCCACAACAGAGGTCTTGCAGTGATGAGTAACAGAAGACAAGTTTGGGGCCAATCAGAAGATTCCTCTGAAAAAAAAAGAAGACAGGAAGGGCACTTGGGTTAGAGGGGGGTGAACTATCTTTTCAGAACGAGACTGAACCTCATCCTGGGACACGGACCAGGATGGGAGTTGGGGCATCCTTCCACCCAGACCCAGTCTCCCTTGCCCAACTGCACTGCAGCATTACTGTGAGCAGAGTGAAGAGAATGAAGATGCTCTGTAGCAAAACTCAAACCGGCAGCCAACCCTGAGGTCAGCGGCTGAAGTCGTTGGTAGGGGGACACCCCCAATCACTACCAAATCATTCCTCAATCCAAATGTCCAAAACTGTCATATAGAAGGGGGGTAGTCAGAGTCCTCCCAGAATCTGAGTTCTGAGTACACTGTACCTGGAGATCTTTAAGCAAAACCACTTGCAAATCTTCCTGAGTCCTGTCTGTCCTATATTGTCTTATAATATAGATGTCCCTGAGGAGTGCCATTTCTCAATTGCAAGTGAGTAGCTTGAAAACCTCCCCTTTTGCAACCCAAATACAAACATTCAAAGGGATTAAAATACCACCATATTTTGTATAAACTGAAGATACTTCATCTTATTCTTTCCACCACCCTGAAGAGGGAACTGCATGCCGACCTGCATTTGCCATCTCTCTGCGTCTTTCCCCTCATCAGGCGTCCAATTTTTGTGAATAACAAAAACATGCACCTAAGCAACTGAGTGCGTATATGTCGCTTAACAAAAATAATAAAATAAAATAAAATAAATAAAATAAAATAAACCCCTGAAAGTGAAATGCAATTACCAGGTTAAAAAAAATGCACCCAGTTTCCAGAGCCTATCACAGCTCGCGCCTCATCGCGCAGCTGCCCCCCAACACTGCTCCTGTTGTGTCAGATAGTGGCAGTGTTGAGCCCGGGAATCCGCGCTGAGCCCGCGGCGGTCCCCGCGGCCGCCCAGTCCCCGCGTCTGACTCCGGCGCGCAGGAGCCACTGGGCCGCGAGGGCGCTGGGGAGCGGGAGGGGCGCGAGGGGCGGCGAGGGGTCACCGGTCGGCCTCCACGAACTGTTTTCCTCCTCCCCCAGCAAGACCCCACTCCCTCCAATTGATCGAAATTCACCGAAATTCACCGAGAGAGGGAGGGTGTAGGGAGAGGTCGCTCGCTGGTTACTGGTTGCGCCTCCCCCGGCTCGAGCCGGGAAGCGGCCCCCGGTCCGTGGGGCGAGCAGTGTGGGCGCCCGCGCCCCCTCCGAGGCAGATCGCGGGGTGCCTGTCCCCGCTCGGCTCGCCGCGCGGCCGCTCCGATCCTCCCCCCTCCCCCGCCCGCGCCCTCCCCCTTCCTTTCACTAGGACTCCAGGACTCGGGAGAGGGCGCGGGAGGCAGGCACACGGGCCCGACCCCACTCCAGCGCTCGCCGGGGACGCGGGCGGGCGGCGAGGGGACGCGGCGGGGGCGCGGGGCGGGCGCGGCCATGGAGCGGCGGCGGCGGCGGCGGCGGCAGCACTAGCGACCGCGGGCGGACGAGCGGGCGGGCAGGGCCGCCGGGCGCCGCGGACCGAACTGCACAGCTCAGCAAAAGCGCCCTCGCCCTCCGCGCGCCGCCTCCTGCGAGCCCAAACCCGGCAACATTTTTTAAAGCTCCAATCCATCCTTTGAAGAAAAGAAAAAAAAAATAGCATTGGTCGGAGAGACGGGGATATATATATATATAATTTTTTTTTTTTTTTTGGCTCCTGCTAAAATTAGCCGGGCTCGCCGCGCGCCTGTGTGCGAGTGTGTGCGAGTGTGTGTGCGTGCGGGCGTGTGTGTGTGAATGTGATTACTCCAGGACTCCTCGGGCTCCGGAGACGCCATTTTCCCCCTTGATATCTCTCTCCATAAATCGGTTGCGCGGCGGAGGCGGCCGCGCCGGGCGGGAAGCGCGGGGCTGGCCGGGGCGCCCGCCGCTCGCCGCCGCCTCCGCGCGCCCGGGGGCCCCGGCGCCCCCCGAGCGAGGGCGGCCCGCCCGCGGCTCGCCGTTTGACAGATGCTCATCGCCATGGAGTTGCCGCAGCAGCACCTTTGGGGGCTCGGGCGAGCGACGGGAGCCGGGATCTGAGCGAGCGCCGGCGCCAGCGGAGCCGGAGCCGCCGGGACATGGGTGAGCACGCGCGGCGACCTTGGCCCGGGAGCACGGCGCCCAGCCTCCCGTGGCGCCGCGGGCCCCCGCACGCCCGGGGCCGGGGGCGGTGTGAGTGCCCTGTGTGCAAAAGTTAACGTCGCCTCGCCGGGGCTTTGACTTTGCACCGGGCGGGAAGGGGAAGACGGGGCCGAGGGGGCGGGATGCCGGTCCCCGCCAGGCTGCGGAGGATGGGCGCGATTCCGGCCCACCCGCGGGTGGGCAGCGATGCTGGCTCGTTTGGAGTGGCCCGTTGGTGGCAGCGATGGTGGAAGCGTCGGGCGGGAGGGCTGGGAGCTTATTGAGTTTCGCCTAATCTGATTCCCCCCCAACCCCCCCGCCTTTTGCACCCTCCCTCGGTCCAGCCGCCGGCTGCCGGGGCTGGCGGGTTTGGCGTTGGTGGAGTGGACTCGGGAGGGGGAGGGGGTAGGGAAAGGGGTGGGAAGGCAGCAGGACGTATATATATATATTATTTTGGGGGGTCTCTTTGTAACTTGCAGGTTAAGTGGAGCTAGAGAGCTACATTGTAACCTAGTTGGATTTTTGGGGGGGGGGGAATGTATGAGAATCTAACGTGTCGTTAATAGAAAGAAGAACAGGCAAGAAGTGGTCCAGCCGGCGAAGGTTGGTGTGTGCTTGTGTTGTGGCTCTGTGTTAGTCTTTCTCTTAAAATCTTAATCAATGGATCTGAGTCTTTCTCGTGCTCTCCGGTTTTGGGACTCTGAAAAGACAGGAATTCCCTTAAAAGCAGACGACTGCCTTTTTTGAAAGCACGCATTGTGTGTGTTTCTAGAGGAGCCCTGGGCTGGAGAATTAACGGCAGGCTTCCCCGTTCGGTGGTTTCCAGTGGGAAATCACTCCGGAAAGGGAGCCCTTCAGTATCGATTTATTGTTTTTGTCTTTCAAACCATTATCTCCTTGGCTAAAATACTGTCTGAGAAGTTCCACAGAGACAGAGTCAGGTAAACTGGACTGGGCAGATCTTTAGCAAGATGGTGATAACGGTGATGCTGTTTTGGGTGTCTGTTTGTGATGGAAGCATTGCTGGGTAATAGCAATTTCTGATCGGTAGAGCATGCTGGTTCTAAAAAAATAAGTGACTTGCCTAAATGCTGTCTTCCAGTCCCCCTCCCCTACACGCTGCAAACACCCCTCCTCCCATGACCCACAGGCTTACAACAATTCTGAAATCGGATCCTACTGGAAATATTTTCTTTGGAGATCGGAAAGTTGTGCAATTGGAAGTGGAAGATGAGGCTAGAGGTACCGGGGGTGCGGGGAGGGGGGTTCTTATTGCCCCCTGATGCTGCATTTATTCTTTATGTGTGTCTGTGTGGGTTCTGAGGGTGTGTATATCCATCTAAAAGGACTGTTGAGGGAAGGATTTCCGATTCGTTTCCGCTTCAAATAAACTGTCCTGATAATCTCATGGTTGGCGTCTAATGCTAAAAGGCCAATTTGTGTGTCTTTTTATCGCCCCAGAAACTCTTCCAAAAGGGCCGTTTAATTCTAGAATTCTGTAACAGCTACTTTTCCTTCCAAGCCCCCACCCCCTACCCTCCACTATCCACACCTTTTTTCCCTAAAGTTTGGTTGGAATCTGTGGTCTTTAAGGAAGTCTAATGCTACTTGTTTTCCTCTTACATTATTTTTTGTTCTCTTCCTTTTCATTCCTTTGCTCTTTATCCTGTATTTCTTTTTTTTCCTGTAGATTCGTACAAAAAAAAAACTAGTTTCATAAAGTAGCTGTACTAAAACTATCTTGCTGTTGGGGACCCACCTCCTACCCTCCTTTAGTTCACACAGGTAAATCTGATTCGCCCCATTCAAACTCATCTTCATTTGCGAAACGTGTGTGCACGCGTGCGTGTGCATGTGCGTGTGCGTGTGTGTGTGTGTGTCTTGGGAGGTGGGGACAGGAGTGGAGTAGAGAAGAGGAACGTGGAGAGGAAGGGTGGTGTTCTGTGCAGGCCACATCTGCAACACTGGGGCCAGACCTGCACGGTCTGGGAGTTTCCTTTGCTCACCCCAGTTAGCTGTCTGGCTGGGATGGGGAGGCGGGGCCAAACTGGCCAGGGGCGTGTAAGGGAGGAGAAAGTTTGTAGCACTTTAAAATGTAGCCAGTTTACAATCCCTGGTCACTCCCTCCCCTTTCTCCTCCTTTCTGTGGCTTCCACCGTCCAGAGACTCCCGGAGGGAAGCTTGATCTCCTGCCCTGACGCAGGAGTCCAAGGTTTCAGAGCGAAGTTGAAGATGTTGTGTTTTCCTCTGTACTTAATGAAATTGTCTGCTATCAGAGAAGGGCGTTAGGACAGATCAGAAGAGTAAGGTCGAACATAAGAGTATAGGCAAACTTCAGGGAAGGTAGCCTGAGAAGATGGGGAGACCAGGTACTCTGAAAGGGCTGCTTTGCACCTTATGCCCCCTCCCCGGTAAGACAAAAAATCAAAGTCTTGGGCAGTTGAGTTGGTGCAAAAGCTGGGCTGTGGGCACTGCTAGCCGTTCTAGTAACCTGAGCTGGGCTGGGGGGAGGAGGTGGTGAGGGAATGCAATCGGGAGCCAGAGGAGGGAAACGGACTTGTCTCCCGGAGCAGGGAAAATAGACGTGTCACTGGAATAAACAAACTGGAGGTGGGGGAGGGGATGACTTGTAGTGAGCATAAGGGGGAGTGGCTGAGAGGGTAGGAAGGGGCCACTTCTGGCTTGGGAGAAAATATCAACTGCCTTATATGTTCATAAATGGGCTAGGCAAGTGAAGGGGTGTAATCCGATCTTTTGTATGTTAACATCACAATGTTACATAGGAAGGCGCTGCTGGCAGGCCCAGTTTTGGACTTCACACAGGGGAATCCTAGGGGTATCCCTGAGTGAACCTCTTCGGTGATAGGAGGGCTTCTGGTCATGTACTTGCATTATTCACAGCAAGCTACTTTGTAAATCACAAAGTGAAACACAAATTTACTTTGTAAATCACCTGACCTAAATGAGGGTTTGAGAAAGAGAAAACAGTGCTTGGAATATTTGTAGAATTTAGTTGAAAACTATAGGTGGAGAGAGGCAGGAGGCAGGAGTTTGCTGAAGAAGAAATAAATAGGTAGGCATTTCCCCTGGATTCCTGATTCCGTTTCTGCTGTTATCTTGACTTTCAATTCCATTAGGGGCTGAATCGATACTTCGCTGGCACAAAAATGTACCTCTAGGAGAGTTCTTTCAAGCCGGTCATTATGTTGAGTTGTACTTCAATCTCTGCTCCAAAGCTTCTCTATAATATGCAAAAAGAGGAAGATGAGAGTGGCTAGATGCATGGGACGTCCTTTCTGGATTCTTGCAGAGACACTGAAACTTGGCTGGGCCTCAGCCTCCCAGAATGCCAGTTTTTCCCTTGGAGACTTGAAGTTTTAATTGAAACCAGAAAGCTATTGAAGGCAGACCCAGCCAATGAAACCTTGTTTTCTCTGCTGCTCAGGAATGGGAAATAAATAATTTTTTGCTGATGGCATTTCAAGTTGCTTCAGTTCTGCTCCTGCCAGAAGAATGGGGTAAATTATTATTAACACACAGGCATTGTCAGGAGTTGCAGGGCCTTAAAAAATGGGATGATGTTATTGAGTTTACTCAGGGCCCCACTGTGTGGGAGAGGTCTATGGGGTCGGTGTGTGGGGGGGTAGCTACTCTTGTCTGGGAGCGGGACAGCCCTTCCCTGAAGAAAAGGAAGCCTCATAGAGTCCTTGCCACACATCACTGTGCTTAGTTCTTTGGTTCCTGTGTTGAAGGGAACAAAGCCATCCAACTCTGCGCCCATTCTGCGGTCTGTTATAAAACCTGGGGAGCTTCTTAAAAATAGTTTAAGCCAGGGTTAAGTGAGGAACACCACCATCCTACATATTGCCATGGGTTTGAGCTTCTTTTAGAGCTATTTCTAAAGGCCTCCCTGGTGTTTCACAAACTCTTCATCAAACTGCAGACACTTTGGGTGGCCTAACACTTGATAAATGCAGAAAAGAAAACACCAAGGTGTCCAAAGTGCACTACTTCATGAATACGGGGGGTAGATGCCACCCTACAGTCTTGTTTCACTCTGGGTTTTCATTTCCATTTTCACTTAGCCCTCAACTAGATTCTGATGGCCACTTAGACATACCAAGTTGGGGCAATATGAAGTTTGGGGGGAACCGGTGACCTCAGATGACCGAGTGCAAGTTAATGGGCCCTTAGAGTTCTTATCTGGAATTTTCAAAGGTCTTTCAAAGTTTCAAGTCAGAGCAGCGTCCCTTTCAGAGTTGGTTTTCTTATATCTTTAGAGGTTGCCCTCCAAGGTTGAGGGAGCATGTTTTTAAGTGGCCTTTGGCTTAGAAACCCACAGTTGACTTCCTGTCCAGTTCAGAGAAATGATGCCAGGGTCAAACGGAGAGCAAGAGCAGCTCTGAGGTCCACAGGACACCTTTTGAGGAAGCAGGTAGCCCTTCCTAGGAACTGATGATGGATTGTGATCCACAGACGCTTGAGAAATAATTGTAGGCAAAGCCAGCTGAGCTGACCCCAGGTAGGCTGAGGCTTCCACCTTTCCAAGTGCTGGGAGGGATAAGGATGAATGGGGAGCAGATAAGAATTTCAGAACTGTGAGCTTAGAGAGATGTTTCCCTGACCCAACTTCTGCCATCAAAAGCACCCCCTTTCATATGCATGGCTCTTTGTTCTTTTCAAGACATCTTCCTGTCAGATTTGCCCCCTTGATTCTCCTAAGGAGGGAGAAGCAGTGTATCCCCATTCAGAAGAGGAGGGACTGACACACTGACTTGCTAAAATGACGCAAGGTGGTGGCCCACCTGGGACCTGAAGGCTGTGTTAAAGTATGAACAGCATCACACCTGAAGTGACAAGATCTGCTCTGGATCCTGTCCTCACTACCTCCCGGCTAAAGGACCCCTGGCAGGTTATTTAACCTCTTTGAGCCTCAGTAACCTAATCAGGAAGATAGGGATAAAGATGCTTACCCTGCCTACTTCACAGGGGTTGGGAGGATTAAATAATACCAGCTAATTTCTGTAATTGAGCTCTGAGAAGATTTCCATGCTGCCTCCTGGAAACTGGTGCCTGGAATTATTATCGCCATAGCCCGGAGATTAATAACCCTCTGGTGCGACCAGAAATGCCTACAGGGGCCCTTGTGTTCTAAGACAGTTGGGGAATACTTGTTTTCTGCTCTCGAGTTGACTCATAAGAAAAATGTGTGTGTGTGTGTGTGTGTGTGTGTGTGTGTGTGTATAGGTATGTATGTTTGAAATCAGTGGAATTATTAGATGCCTTGTATATGCCATGTGTATCTAAGGCTCAAAGTCTCAGGTAATATCCAGTTTGGGCTCACAGATGTATCGGGGCTCAGGAAATGCTCTTCGCTAGGAATGAGAAGAACAAAAGGAGATGCACAGAGTGGGGGCAAGCAGGAGAGAGAATGAGGGGCAGGTGCTCCATAGGGAGCCCCAGTGGCTGAGCAGTGACATTCAGGACAGAATGTTTAGCCTCTCTTAAGAGAAGAACTCCTAGCAGGATTGCTTCTGTCCCGGCAAACCTAGTACATTGTCTAGAATGAGGAAAGTTCTCCACAGTCCATTTGCTCCTGGCCT